CGTCATCACCTCCTGGTTTTCGGGGGCGTCGTATAGGAGTTGGTAGCTGCCCCCGAGTCGTCAATCGCCTTGTGGGCTTTAGAAGCTGAGGGCCACGATCCCGACCGTTGGGGTTGTGGCTCCCGTCGGGTTGGATGGCTTCTAAGTCAAGGCCCTCGTCATGGATCCCATCCCACAGTGGGTAGAATCGTACAGGTGTATTGTTGGGCCGTATCTAGACGGTGGGCTTTGTACCGGCCGTCATCGCCTTGGGCGGTGTTGTCTTGTCCATGCTACGCGGTGTAGGGGTGGCGTCTGACCGGACCGAGGTGACCGCTGTCCCCTCGGTCCTTGTGGGGTCAATGCGGTATGCCTACTCTTGTTAGAGCAGGCAGGTTTGGCTAGGTGTGACCTCTCCCCGTTCCTCCTAGGGGTCATGATGGTGAGGAGGTCGTGAGTCTTATGTTCGTTATGCGGCTGAGATAGAAGGAAGGTGTCGTGGCTGACCCTGGCCTTGGTGTCTGGTCTAGTTCGCTTGGCTCAGCTGAGCCTTGGTCATTCGGGCCTTCACTAGTTGATTTGTTGTGGGCCACATGGCCCGCCAACTAGTCAGTGCCTTGAGACGCTCCGGGGTTATAACCCCGACATGGATGGAACAAATTATTTCCTCTAGAACTTCATAAGTGCTACTGAATGGTGCCCCAGGCAAAGCAATACATTGCAGAAGAGTAGTAAGACAGGGAGACCCTCTATCACCTTTGCTCTTTGTTTTAGCAGCTAATTTTCTTCAATCCATGGTTAATAAGGCAAAGGACATGGGGATACTAAACCTTCCAATCCCTTTAAGCTCCAATAGGGATTTTAGAATTCTGTAGTATGCTAATGATACACTGATCATCCTAGAAGGCAATGTCAATCAGCTATTGCTTCTGAAAGCCCTGTTAAACTCTGTCTCGGCTTCTACTAGATTAAAGATCAATTTTCAAAAATCAATGATGGTCTCAATTAATATTTCCAAGGAAAAACTAGACCATTTAGCCATAACATTTGGTTGTGACAAGGGATCTTTACCTTTCACATTCTTGGGGCTGCCTTTGGGTATCACTAAGTCTAAAGTGGAAGACTTATTGCCCATGGTGAACAGATGAGAGAGAAGGCTTGCAAGTGTCTCAACCTTTCTTTCCCAAGCTTGCAGATTGAAATTAACAAACTCAGTCTTCTCCTCAATGCCAACCTTCTTCATGTGCAGCTTAACTTTGCCACCATCTGTGATCAAGCAAATAGACAAATACAGAAAGCACCGTCTTTGGAGAGGGTCAGAAGCTAATGATAGAAAACCACCCAAAGTTGCTTGGGAAATGGTCTTGCTTCCTAAAAAAGAGGGTGATTTGGGAGTCCTAGTTTTGAGGAAACAAAATGAAGCTCTTCTGATGAAGAACCTACACACAATTTTTCTAACAGACTAGATAACTGTCGGTGCGCAGAAAGTGACCAACAAGTAAATATTTGTAGTTTTGTTGTACGTTGTGATCGGAGGTGGCCTAGCACTCAATGACACAGGTTTATACTGGTTAGAAGCAACGTGCCCCTACGTCCGATTTGAGTCGGTCGGTGACTTTATTCCATGAGCCCAAGTGCTCAAGTTTGCGAGTGGGGTTACAAACGAGAAGGAGAAAGATGGGGGTATAAGAGGTCCGGTCGGACTCCTGTCGGAAGGGCCGAGAGTGACGGGAGCCCCGCTATGAACTAAGTGTTCGAGCATGTGCTCGTGGTTCGAACCTGGCGGTTCTGTGCTGGTAAACTTGATCGATCTAATGAATCTGGAATGGCTTGAATCTTGGGAGAGAGCACATCCCCTTTTATAGATGAAGGGGATGGCCTTACAAGTGAGAGGGAGAGAGTTCGTATGCTTCTAATCCTTGTTGCTCATGCCGGCGGGTATAGGGTGATGGTAGGCGCCCACGACACTGTAGGATGTCAGATGCACATGGGAGGTTACGTCGTTTTGTTCGGGTATGGCAGATGTCGGTACTTGCTATACTGTTGATGCCCGGAGGCATGTGAGGAGTCTTACCATGTTTTCCTGGTACGGTAAAAGCCAGCGCCCACAACATTGTTGATGCTAAGAGGCATGGGGGCCTTACCGTATGGGAGTTTAATGGCACCCACAATACTGTAGGGGAGAACGTCGGTGCCTACAACACTGTTTTAGGCTCTGTCGTGCCAGGGAGGATGCAGAGTACTATTTCCACAGGTGCTCAGGGTACGTACCCTGGTATTGCGGTTTGACTTGTGCGCCCTGCCTTGCTTTCTCTGTTTGTTCCCTGGTCCTTACCGAGCGGGTGTCCCCGGTCGGTTGGTTCCAGTCGGTTCCAATCGTGTCAGTTAGAGAAGAGCAGTGAGCAGGTGTTTGCTGTATCCCCAGTCGGAGACGCGGGTCGGAGTCAGAAGCGGCGTTTGGGCTAGGCCTTTCGGTCGGAAAGGCTGTCCGGAGGCGGGCTGGAGACCGAAGCGAGCGCTCTGGTCGGAGAGGCGGGCCGGGGTTGGAAGCGGGCGCCGTTCCCCCTCGGCTAGGCCTTCCGGTCGGTGATTGGATCGTCCTTCTGGCCTGTCGTTCAGGCACTTGGGCCGGCCCATGAGTTGTGTGTTGTCTGCTTTGGGCCGAGCCTCTGTGGGGAAGCCGGTCCGCGAGGGACCCCGGGTTTATGAACCCGACATAACCCTTCGGTCAACCTGGTATGAGAGAAGCTTTACCCAAATGGAAACTACCTAGCAATATTATGAAATGAAGCTTCTGGTGGAGGGGAAACATGAAAATTTTGAAGGATTTCAAAGGTCTACTTTAGGGGCTTCGACCCCTCCAGGCTCTTCAAAAAATTGATAGTGAATGTAATCATCTCCACAGCAAGGCCACAACCTCGTATCTAGACCCAAGTGTCTGCTCGAGACCTTGTCCTAGTGATGTCACTTCCTCTCAACACAACTTCTTCCTCTCAAAGTCTTGAGCTCCAAGTTGGCGAGGCCACGGTCTCCCATTTGGCTCCAAACTGCCATATTATCCAACATCCCTTCCCAACGCTCTTGCCTTTCTGGGCACTCTCTAGGCGGTGAGAAAATGTAACACCCTGATTCACATTTTGTAATATTTTTTTTGAATTAATTAGCTACCGCATAATTATTAAAGGAGGAAAACATATTTTGTAAAACTAAAATAAACATGGCAAAGAGGTATAAGAACTTTGTTGCATTCATGTCGTATGAAAAGTGTTTGTTTGTGTGCAAAATGATTTTAAAGTGCGCTTACGATCGATTAGAGTTCTGAATTCCTTCTCAAAATATTTGCAAAATTTTAGGAAAGATAAATAATATTTCCTTCCCCGAGTAACCTAACTTTCATCCTCCCTCCTCCTCTCTGAAGCCCACCCCGGCCGCCCTCCCACATCTCCCCCTCCCCGACCGTGTCTGGGCTCGGCCGAAACCCACATCTCTCCTCAGTCCTCACCCACGCATGCCACCACGTCACCCTAGGCCCCACAGCCGCTTGATTTTAAATTGTTCATTTTCTTTTGCCACCTACAGTCACCACATCCGGTTCTACGGTAAGGAGATTGAATAAAAAAATTACTAAAAGAACTTCTGGAAACAGGACACCAGGATAAAACTCGGTTATTTTTAGCGTACCCGGTCTACACTGGGAGTGTATATAGATGGCCAACGGGCTGGCCCGGCACGAGCCCGTGCCAGGCCCGGCCCGATGGAGTCGGGCTGGCACGACACGCCGTGCCTCCCGGGCCATGCCGAGCTGGGCTTCGTGCCTGGCCGACGGCCTAGGCACGGCCTGCTGGGCTGTTTTTCGTGCCGGGCCAGCCCGGTAAGCACGGCTTGTGAAGCCTCTCGGGCCGGCCCAAGGCCCGCTTGGCAAGGGGAGGCAGCGCCCTCGCGGCTGGCGGCCCGGCGCCCCGCGGTCGTCGCTTTCAAGGGCGGCGAGCCTGTGGCCGTGGATGAGAGGGAGGAAGAGAGGAGAGAAGGGGAAGGAGACGACGAGTAGCGTGCTCCACGCGGCCGTAGCCAGGCGCGAACGCGCGACCTCCACGCGCAGGGCACGGTCGCTGCCGGTCTGCCCAGGCAAGCCGCCTCCGCAACTGGCCGCTGTTGTGGAGGAGGAGCGAGATCTGGTGGATTCGGAGAGAGAGCAGGGGCCGCCGGCAGCGTGGAGGAGACGAGGAGGTCGTCGGTGCTCGAGGCCGCTCCGCTCGAAGCCGCCGCTGGGAGGGCGCGGAGGAAGAGGCCGAGGGGGCTGCCAGCAGCGTGGAAGACGACGCGGATGGGGCCGGCTGTGGCGTGGAGGACGACACGGACGGGGCCACGTGGACGAGGCGAGCGGGCTAAGCGCGACGCCTACGTGGGGTGGGTGGGGGAGGGGGTTGCGCGCAGGCGAGCACGAGCATAGAGAGCGAAGGGAGTGCGACGGCTGGGGCTGAGGGGAGGGGGAAATGAAGTTAGGGTTGCTGCCGTGCTGCCGGCCTGTTGGGTGCTGCTACTGCCGTCGTCCACGTGAGCGGGCCGCCACCGGGCCGTACGCTGTGGAGCGGGCCGTGCCGTGCCGGCCCACGTGCCTGGGGTAAGGCCCAGGCATGGCCTACTCCTCCGGGCCGTGCCAGCCCGGGCCTGCTCGCCACCGGGCCAGGCCGGGCAAAAAACCAGGCCTCGTGCCATGCCGACGGGCTCAGGCTGCATGGCCATATATGGAAGTGTACGGCCAGACCGCTGTGTACAGTATAAGCATGCAACTAGAAAGCATGCATGGCAGGTGGCCAGCGCAGCACAAGGGTGGGCAGGCACGTCGCTCCCGACGCGAACCTTCACCGCTCCAACCTACTGTACTAAATACGCAGCCTGCAGCACCGTAGACAGTACTGCCACTGGTCCTGCAAGAACGTACACTAGCTAGCTACTACTCAAACCAGTAGAATCTGCAGTCTGCATCGTCGTTGTCTGTGCGAGTACGTACACGACGTCCGATGGCGCACAGCAAGCGCGAGATCAAGCCCGGGAGGGCGCACACCAAGGTGTCCGGCGACGTCGAGATGCTGCGGACGGGCTTCTACGACGGCACCCCGCTGGAGGGCGGCAAGATCGCCGACTCCCAGCCCGTCGACCTCTTCGCCGCCGCCCGACGCGTCGCCGAAGCCGACGCCGACGCCGTCCCGTATTATCACTCGCAGCAGCATCAGAAGGAACAAGAAGCAGCAGGCGAGGGGACGACGACACTACTGCAAACTCGAATTGTCACGTGGATAACGAATTTTTTTATGCGTTTTTTTCGGTACGCACACAAAAATTACGATTATTCTGTCGGTTCCAAAATATCCAAACAGAAAAATACGAAAACCCACAGGATAATTATATGATTTTTCTGTGTGTGACAATACACACACGGAAAAATTAGCACTCACAAAAAATGCAATTTATTCTATCGATTCTTTAAAAACGTACATAAAAAATATATGCACGCACAGGAAAAAAAAATATACACGCATAGGATAAATAAAAAAACAAACAAGTCCCAACCCTAACCCGCCGGCCGCCGCCCCCAAACACCCTCGCATGCACGCACTCGCGGACTAGCCTGCTCGGCTCTCCTCTCAGACGCATGCACACACACGCCCGCCGCCTTGAAGCCACGACGCCCGCCCGCCTGGCCGCCTTCTTCTTCCCGGCGGGGCCGCCCCATCCCTCCCCCCTTCTTCACCCGGCCTGGCGCCCCTCCTCCCGCGTCGGCGCCCCGCGCCTCCCCCTTCTTCATCCCCGGCAGGCGACCACCCCTCCCCTCCCCCTTCTTCACCCGGCCGGATCCGGCCCTCCCTCTCCCGGATCTGGCCGGTGGCTGCGGTGGTGGTGGTATTAGCCGGCGGCGGGGCGTGGTGGTGGCGGCGGCCCTCCCTTTCCCCTTCTTCTCCCCGTGGCGCCCCCTCCCTCCCTTTCTTCTTTCTCGTGGGTGCCCTCCCTCCCCTTATTCACCCGGCCGGATCCGGCCCTCCCTCTCCCGGATCCAGCCGGTGGCGTGCGGCCGGCGCCTCCCCTCCTCCCGCCGGCTGCCGGCCCCTCCCCTTCCTCTCTTCCCCGGCCCCTCCCTCATCGGCGGCTTCCCTCCCCCAGATCTGCCGCCCTGCCCTTCCCCTCCGTCACCGGTGGCACCCCTCCCCCGGATCCGCCGCCCCGCCCCTCCCCTTCCTCACCAACGGCGTCCCTCCCCCGGATCTGCCGCCCCGCCCCTCCACTCCCTCACCGGCGACGCCCTCCTCCGGATCCGCTCCCCCTCCCTCCCCTCCCTCACCGGCGGCGCCACTCCCCGGGATCCGCAAGGAGGCCCGAGCACGCGGCGCGGGCGTGGTGGCGGCGGGCTGGTGGGTGCGTGAGGGCGCGGCCGGGCGTGCGCGGCGAGAGCAGTAGTCTTCAGCGGCGCGTGGGGCCGCAGGCCACGGAGGCCGCTAGGTGCAAGAAGGTTGCGGCATCGCGTGGGGAAGCAGGGCGCGGGTGGCAGCAAGATATTGACATACTTTCAGAAATTAGTAAAACAGAGTACTAATAAGCCAATAAGACTAGCATGCACTCACTCGTCACCACTTGGTTTAAGAGCCACTTTAACACCACATGGAGGTTGTTTAAATTTTGTTCGGGACCCTGGCTTCCTTCCTCTTTTTTTGGGTGGCTCTGTTGGGGGAGCTTCAATAACTGTTGTCGTTTGTGAGGCATCGCCTGCAGTTCCAGAACCTTCATTTGTTTGGGCTGCACTGTTGTTGGCTACACGGCGTGTGTGTCCAATGGAATGGACCATGGAACCGCCTGCACTTTCAGAACCATCATTCCTTTTGGCTGCACGATAACTGGGTACACGTTTGTTGCGTGTACAGACCATCTGCAGTTGATACAATATGTCAGATCCATCTTAAAACAAATAGTGCATCAAACAACAAATTATTGGAGGGGCAACAAACTAGGAAACTGCTATATTAATAATTATGGACTACTGGCTGCATATTCACAAAAAATACTTGACTGCATATATTCAAATATATTTTGGACTGCATATTGCATTAGATAAAGGATTGGAGAGAAAACAACATGAATTCAGATTTAGTAATACGGAAGCACACATGCAAACTGCTATATTAATAATACTAGACTGTTGCTACATATTCAAAAACAGTTACATAGGATCTTATGCATAACAAATAGCATAACTAAAACATATATTTTGGACTGCATATTCAAAAATCATTTGGATCATAAGTTTCTTCATCTTCTTCATCCATTGCTTCATCATCCTCTTCCATTTCTTTCTCTTCTTCAATAGCTTCTTCATCATATTCCTCATCCAAAACAACTTGTTTTCAGATTGCTTCCAAGTCTTTTGGGTCAAGAACCTCATCTCGATCCCGTGGCAATTATGGAGTCCAAGGCATCACTCAAATCAATGACAAAGGTGCCTCCAAACCATCTCGCTTGGTAGACATCCCCGCACTACCCCTTCCATATTCATAGCTTCACTACTTCTTTCATTCATAGGCACACATCCATGTGAAGCAACATGGTAGACAACCCACCATGGAGACAACTCCCTGTTCTTACACGGGTATGACAGATAGTACACTTGAGTAACCTGACTAGCCATCACAAATGGGTCAAAATTTGATAATCTTAATGTATTATTGATCTCTACCAAGCCTAGATCTTCAGTACGCCTTAATCTATTGGGTGTTGGATCAAACCAGGAGCAATAAAACAGCACCAACTCTAGTTTCATGCTGCCTTCCCACTCAATTTTAATTATATCTTCTATGTGTTGGGTTCATAAACCCGGGGTCCCCAATGGACCCGCTTCCCTACAAAACTCGGCCCAGCAGGCGGCGCAGCGACAACGCGCGCCTAGGCCGGCCCAGATACATAATGACAGGCCAAGACAATGATTCGGTCCCCGACCAGAAGGTCTGGCCAAGGTGGAACCGTAGTCCGACTCCGACCTCTTTCTTCGACTGAGGATATGTCGGGCCTCTGCTCGCTGCTCTTTCTCGACCGACACGGTCGGGGCCGACTGGGAACGACCAACCGAGGACGCCCACTCAGTGAGGGCCCGGGTATCAAGCGGAGCAGATAAGGTAAGGCGCTCAAGTCAACCGCAATACCGAGGACCGTACTCTGCCATGCCCTGTGCACCTGCGGGACGGTGCTTCCAGGCCATGCCAGACGGGCACTATACAACTTTCTAGACATGTCAGAGCACAAACAGTATTGTAGGCGCCGATGTTTGATGTACCAGGCGAACACGGTAGAGCCTGCCAGATGCGTCTGAACATAAATAGTATTGTAGGCGACGACGACCATCTCATACCTGACAGCGTGGGCAACAAGACTAGGTAGCAGTCGTATACACTTTTTCTCTTTCTCTCTGACTTGTAAGGCCATCCCTTTCAACTATAAAAGGGGATGCGCTCACTCCCAACTAGGGGGCTAGACGATTCGAGGACTCAACGACCTGAGGACTCAAACGGCTCAATACCTCTAGAACTCGTTAGCTACACAGAGCATATGCTCTAATACTTAGTGCACATTAGAGCACCTGTCACTCTCGCCCATTCAGTTCAGAGTCCGACCGGTCCTTTAACACCCCCCTTTTTATTCCTAATCATTTGTAACCCCACAACAAACTTCAAGCACCTGGGCATAGGAATAAAGTCACCGACCGACTGAAACTAGACATAGGGCACATTGCCTGAACCAGTATAAATCCAGTGTCATTGAGTGCTAGGCCATATCCGATCACAACATACGGCAAAACTACAAATATTTATTTGTTGGTCAAATTTTGCACCGATAGTTGGCGCCGTCCGTGGGGAAGACGCCGTGCGTTCATGCTTTTGGTCATCGGATGGCCCACCTTTCCACCATTTTTGGCATGGCGGGCTCAAGCAATACAATTCGCTTCGGCTCACTGGAGTTTCCCACGCTCCCACCTATTGGGATGTGGGTTCCTCCTGTCTTCGTGCCACTCTAGACCTTCCTCTTTGAGAGTCTGGACTTCATCGCCGACTACCTTGGCGTACTCCATCTCCGTGAGGAGGCGCTCGTCTCGGTGTCCACTAGAGGAGGACCGCCCTCCACTAGCCCTAGGCCACTCGACGACCTCAACGTCGAGACACTCGCGCTTCTCCTCGAGCCCATGCTAGGCTTAAACCCCATGGTGAGTGATGTACATATTGTTCTTTAGTCACTGTTTAACACTTTTCGTCGACTCTTCGGAGGGACCCCGTTGTCCCCACCACGACCGCCATGCGATCGGTTCCCCTACGGCTTCGCATCCCCCATGGACGCATGCTCGTGGGGGCTCCAAAGGATGCTGACACTGCCCCCTCTCATGTCTGAGTTCATGGGGATGGCGGGCTACGCTCCCGCCTCCTTCCACGACCTCGTCGATGACGAGGTCGAAAGCGATGGCTCAAGCATCGGCGACGTCGTGGCACCTGGCCACCCTCTATCCCGAGAGTGCACTATGGCGGACACCCTAGGACAACCACCGATGGTAGTGGAATCTCTGCAGACTCACCCCTCTAGAACCTCATGCGAAGGCACTGGCACGTGCGCAGGAGCACGGCGAGGAGTTACGACAAAGGCGGCAGAGCCAGCCGCCACATGCGCGGAACACGGTGAGCGGTGCTCGGGGTCACGCCCTCAGGTCCAGCGTAACATCCTGGATGGAGGGAACGACCCCCCTCAGTTTGCTCGGGCTGGCCAGAACATCGCTACTGCGGCGATGCTTCTACGCGTCCTCCCCGAGCCTGACGACCCTTAGGAACATGCAATGCACCGAAACCTCCGGACGCTGGTGGAGACCACCGTCGTTTAACATGCGGAGAGGTCCGCGTCGCGACACTGGCTCGTGGCCTCTTGCCCCACTGGGGGACTAGGGCCGCACCAGTCGAATCGCTCCGTCCACTCACCACCGTAGTTGCTGGGTGTGGGGCAGGAAGCCGTGGCTACACCGCAGCCCGACCCAGCGCCCGCTCCACACCGACCACATATGCGTGAATGGCTCGGGCCCAACCATGATGCTCATAGCATCATCAACAATCGACGCCACGCTCGGCACGATGATGACGTCCATCGAGTGGCGGTAGGAGCAGGCGGCGCGGGCCTCGGCCTGACCATCGAGGAGTGCAGGGACATGCACCCTAGGCATGGTGGCCGACCAAATGACTGGAGCCCTAGACCAGATGGCCTAGGGCCATAGGCCTTTGGTCATCGCATCCAGAAAGCATCATTCCCACAACGCTTCCGACCGCCCACTAACATCACCAGATACACCGGGGAGACGAACCCCGGTATATGGCTCAAAGACTTTCGGCTCGCATGCCGAGCCAGAGGAGTGGATTATGATTACTTCATCATCCAGTACCTCCCCATTTGCGTGGTTGAGCATCTTCCAGCATGGCTCGAATTCCTTCCGCCCGATAGCATCCGCGACTGGGCGGATCTCAAGAGGGTTTTCATCGGAAATGTCCAGGGAACGTATGTCTGTCCTAGAAATTCCTGGAACCTCAAGAGTTGCCAGTAGGAGCCCAACGAGTCCCTACGGGATTACATCCGTAGGTTCACAAAGTAGTGCAACTCCCTTCCTGATGTCATTGACATGGACGTCATCAACGTGTTCCTCTCTAGGACAACCTGCAAGTCCTTGATCCACAAGATTGGCTGTGTGAAGCCCCATACCACCCACGACCTGCTTGATATCACCACGAACCACGCCTTCGGCAAGGAGGTGGTTGGGACATTCTTCAGCAGTGGTCGGGATAGGGGCAAGGCCAAGCGCGAGGACCAAGGCGAGGCCCCTCCACACAAAAGGGCAAGAAGAACAAGATGGATCGACGCTGACTGACCAACCCAGCTTTGGTCGCTGCGGCCAATCGCACGGGCAAGCAACCCCAGCAGGGCTAGCCCAACCACTTTGACAAGCTCATGGAGAGCCCATGCACCAACCAAGCCAATCCCGCCAAATATCTCTACAAGGATCGCAAGCTCCTCAAGCGCTTCCAACGGCAAGCCGCCAAGCCAAAGGAAGGGAAAGGCAAGCAGGAGGCGGCCAAGAAAGGAGGCATGGTGGGCAAGGATGAAGATGGCTTCCCTGACCCTGAGGAATGCCTCATGATCTTTGGGGGATCTGATGCCATCCACTCCAAGCTCTAGCACAAGGTACGCTATAGAGAGGCATGCGCCGCTGAGTTGGCCATCCCCTCTTTCCTTAGCTGGTTAGACTCCCCGATCACTTTTGATCAGAGAGACCATCCTTCCCACGTCACCCGACCGGGTCGCTACCCGCTCATTGTCGACCCCATCGTTCGCAAGAACCGCCTCACCAAGGTGCTAATGGACAGAGGCAGCGGCCTCAACATTCTCTACGTCGACACCCTTGATGCCATGCGCATCCCCTAGTCGGAGCTCTGCCCAATGAGCTCTCCCTTCCACGACATGATCCTAGGAACGCAAGCGTACCCACTCGGGCAGATCGACCTACCCATCACATTTGGTGACTGAGCCAACTTTTGCTCGGAGGTCCTAACCTTCGAGGTGGTGGACTTTTTGAGGCCCTGCCACACCATCTTGGGTCGGCCATGCTACACCAAGTTCATGGCAATCCCCAACTACACCTACCTAGAGCTGAAGATGCTGGGACCGAACGGCGTCATCACTGTGGGTAGCACCTTTTCGCACGCCTACATGTACGACCATGAGCATTACGAACTCACCACTGTCGTCATCAACTCCGCTGAGCTATCGGAGCTCAGGAATATGGCGACTCCAGCAGTTCCCGACTGCAACGAGCCGATCTCCTCAAGCGCCTTCCATCCGACTGAGGAAACCAAGGTGGTGGGGATCGACCCCATTGACATGACCAAGACGATGCAGATCGGGACCAAGTTCCCAGCCAAATAGGCAAGCGAGCTAGCCGACTTCCTACGCGCATACCATGGGAGCTCACCAAGCACGCATTATGCCTCGTCCTGGGCTCAAAGCCCGCCAAGCAATGCCTACATCGCTTGGACAACAAGAGGCGTAGGGCCATAGACGAGGAGATCACCAAACTTCTAGCAGCCGGATTCATTAAAGAGGTATACCACTCTGACTAGCTAGCTAATCCTGTTCTTGTGAAAAAGAAGAATGGGACATGGAGAATGTGTGTTGATTATAGTGGCCTCAACAAGGCGTGTTCGAAGGACCATTTTCCTTTGCCACGCATAGACCAGATAGTTGACACCACCTCAGGATGAGAAATCCTCTCCTTTCTGGATGCCTACCCAGGCTACCACTAGATCGCGATGAAAGAGTCAGACCAGGTCACGACTTTATTCATCACCCCGTATGGTTCGTACTGCTACAAAACCATGCCTTTCGGTCTAAAGACCATTAGCGCCACCTATCAACGGTGCATGCAGCGATGCTTCGCCGACCAAATTGACC